AACTTTCAAAATTTATACACTAACAATCCATAGTTCCCCTCCAAATGAAATTTTAGTAAATAACCAAATATACTACTTGGGCTAAGAGTCAAGTATATCTGCAAGATATTTGTTGTCAATCCTCTTCATAATTCACATGCATCCCGATTCATAGTTTTAGATCAATATTAATATCTCCACATTATTCACCAACTCGATTAAAACCTATTATTTTCTCTATCTCCGAAGTATTTATTCTCAATCTCCAACCTTTAACTAAAATCAATAAAACCATGTAATCAATCCTTAGTGACTTTCATTAACCTCTCCATTCTTTTCACGATACATATACTCTTGAATCTTTATGATACAATCTGATAGAATATATTTATTATAATATACCAGAAGATAAAAATAGACTGTCAAAGACCTCAAAAAATTTTTCAATTCAATATCACCAGATTTCTTGTGATATAATCAAAACCAAAACAAAACTCCCAATGATTCAATTATAATGTCCCTCAATTTAACCATATTATTCGAGTATTCATAATTCCCAAAATGATAATGATTTGCTAACTACTATAATAACCTTAGCATTTTATCCCAAAATTTGCTTAATAGTTTCTCCACTCAAGTCAAAACTCACTCATTTTTTGTCCATAACTCACTTGTTCTTCTTAGCATCTCTTGTTATTAGGTTGATTTTGACATAGATTCCTTAGATTACATCATTCCAATCATCCTAGTTAATCGTATTTTTCAAAAGTTATGATCTTTAATTTTCATACCAACAATTTTCAACTCCAACTCATTTAACTCTCTTAATAATGTATTAAGAGACACCAGAAAAAGATCTCCATATTCCCCCAATAAAATTCCCATAACATTAAAAGATCCCATAGCATGATAAAAGTTCACTCTAAGCATTGATTATCATCCTTGTTCCAATAACTTCCACTCTAGTTGACCTCGAGCTTTTGAACATCCATATTCTTTAGTCCAACAATATTCAGATTCATAGATAGCCACCAATAATTAATTAAGCTTCCTAAATTTTCTTTACATATGTCTCTGAGTTCGTATCCATACCTCAATTTTTAATTTACATTTATGGGTACAAGTCAATTATCAACTCAATACTCAACTAAGTGATTCCTGATTGGTTTTAACTTTAGAAAGTCTAAGAGTAGTGAACTAAGCTCACATAGAAATAAGATTACCTAAGTAGAATTTCCTCAATGAGTATCCTACTTACGAAGTTTATAAACAATTAATAGTTGAAGCACATTAAGTATGTCAGCATGCATGATTGGCTCACTCACATGAGCAATCGCCATTGGCACTTGAGATGGTGAGAAAATGAGATACTATATCATGTAATATCCCTCTACTTAAATACAAAATGAAATCAGATATTTGATGCTCGATAATATACACAACTTCGTGTCCATTATTCTTGTTTTCTTTGAATTAGCAGAATACGAGATCTTAATTTGGCATTTTTTAGGGCGGGCATATAGAGAAATTGGGTTAAGCACTTATTTAGTGACTAGACTAAGATTTGTATGCTGGATGAATATGACACACACTTTCATTAGGATCGAGACATTCCACCGTACCATGTATTTCATACTGCAAGTGCTCGGCTACCAATTAAGGAGGTAAAAGAATGGATACTTGCTTCCTTACCATGTTATTTTGTATAACCAAGCATTTTATAGACTCTTTAAATTTCAGTTATTTGATGAAGTGAAAGAATTGTGTTGCCTACGACCATGAGTGATTCGGCCTTTTGCTAGAAAGGTGGCCAGTTTTGAACTAGGTGAGACGAGGGATTCAGAACATCAGTTGTTGACAACTTTGTGCACTATTGTGCATAGTGACAAAGTGTGAATATATAGACTCTTCAAAGATTTAAACATACTAATGTGCCGTAAGAAATTAGAGATGTTTGAACCGGTGTATCTATGTGAGTCTAAAGTACTTGAGACACCATTCAGGTTAGGATCTATGTCTCTATGTTGACTTTGTGGAGTTCTTAGTGCAAAGTTCCCAAATAGCAGGTGTACACGACAGTCGCACAACCCATTAGCCTCTACGAACTGACATTGATCTATATGATTGATTGAGAGAGATGATAATGTCATGCCATCATGTACGAGTGACATTGATCTATATGATTGATTGAGAGAGATGATAATGTCATGCCATCATGTACGAGTGGTAGATGCCATCATGACTAGTTGACCCAATTAGAAATTGCCCAAAAGGCACAACTTTTGGATGTGACTTTTACCACTCAAAATACATATCTATATAATAAAATGTCAACAAAAGTGAAAAATATTATTTCATTATAATACCTTTAACAAACTAAAAAATACATTGTTTGATTTTTATTCTTCCTCCATACTTGAACTCTTCTTCCGGTGGAAATTGTTTCATATTCTTGTGTTCAATGCACCATCCATCATAAATGTCCCCACCACTATTTGTTAGAACCTCCATCTTCTCACCATAACATATCTTATCAATTGTTATGCATTGCATCTCAAATATTTTAACAGTAATGTTGCGCTGACCAAATTTTGGGACCAAGTCAAGAGTCCAAATGACATGACAATATATTATTTTGAGTCTTTATTAGGATTCAAATGATATGGTACCAAATAAAGAAACTCAATTCAATTGCCATATCATTTGGGCTCTTGATTTGGTTTTAGAATTTGATCAATGTAGCATTATTGATATCTTAATTTTGTTTCATGAATAAAACAAATGAAACGGCATTTGGGTGGCTCAATTTTGGTTCTAACTTCCGTGAATTCTACTTTATCCCTCTAATTTTTCCACCGTCTTTGTCTGCTTGTTTATTCAATGTGTAGGCACAGTTGTGGGGTTGCCCATTTTAACTGTAAAGGACACCTACCATCCAAGATTGACGAACAGAAACGAAAATGCAGTGGCGTGAATCTAACTTGAGGTATGGCTATCTGCATCTTACCCATTTGTTTGTTGTAGTTGATATTAGGATTCACATGGTTTGGGATTGATCTATATGAATTGAGAGGAGATCTAAAAATCCTAACTTTGTGCACTTGGCTTGTTGGGTGGGCGTTAATCCAGAAGTTTCATAGTTGGTTTGTCTTTGGTCAGATGAGGGGTAATTACATTTAAATTGTTGCACCTTGTGGATCCTATCAATCTAAATTAGTAGGTCATTATAGTACAGGAAAGGCTATTGTTTGATAGTTGATCATTGGGTAATTTCTGGAAAATATATTTTGATAATTCTAAGCACAAGGACAAAATTTTACTCATATCAAGACAATGCTTCGTTAAGTTAATTTTTTAATCATGTATTAAAATGTTACCGATAATTGACCAAATTTTGGATTTACATTTTGATAATTGTGATACTATATCGAATCTGTTAGCTAATAGTGATCAATTGTTATGATTTTGGTTTTGATATTTTTGATCATGTAATGAATCTAATATATTATCGTCTTATCGCACTGTAATATGTTGTCTGGCAACGGATCTAATGATTGACAAGATTGAAGCGACAAGAAGGTATATACTATGACAAGAATGAAAGCAAAGCTTTGAGTCAAAAGGACATGGATTGATGCCCCGCTATTAATGGACATGGATTGATGCCCCGATATTTATGGACATGGAATATTGGTGCCATTTTCGGGGTCCTTTTTTGACAAACAATGAAGGGTCTTAAAAAGTATGGTCCTATGGCATTACATGACACACTGAATCTCAATTTTTTATGGGAATGATACCTTCTGTGTATTTTTTAGACTACTAAACACATTTAGATCAGTAATATTGTGATCGTTCTTATGTGCTCTCTCTCTCTCTCTCACTCTCATGGACAAAAGGAAATAACTGATCTTGTATGATATGATAATAATAGAAGCAAAAATTCTTCGTCTGCTAAAAAGAAATGGAGGGATTTAATGATTCAACTTCAGGCGATTCTTATGTCAGGTAGTGTAATTACCTTTAATCCCCCTATATATGTTATAGATTCAAGAATGCACTTTACAATCTGCTGAAGGTTCCTCTAATAACGGAAAGTATGGGGGTGACCAGACCACCGTGCTAATTTTGGTACTGCATTCTATGTTTGTTTACATAAGAAAAGCTGATTTCTAAACTTGTTAAACAGGTAATATGAGCAAAAAAATTATCCCCTTGGTCTATCTTTATAATTTTTTTTCTTCTCTCTATAACCTAAAAGTTTCATTTGCATGACATCTTCTTCAGCTACAAATAATTGAAACTAATGAGATGGACAACAAACCCCTCCACCTGCATACATCTGAATCATAAAGAAAATTTGGAATATTTGTTTATGTAGTTATTCATGAAAATACATCATCTACTCCGTTGTGAATCTTGTGACAACATATATCCAATTGAATGTGTACGTCTTTTGATACCGATTTTTACCCTTAAAAAAAGGCATAACAACAACATTACCTGCCATTTAATAACTTTATTAATATTAATCATAACATATTAATATATTCTCCACCTTTTCCTTTTCCTAACCCCCCACTCAAGAGAAACTAGAGAGATATGTCTTTCCCTAAGCCCACTAAATGACAACACTATCTAACATGCACTAGTTGGGCTATTATTTTAATTAGATCACCTAAATTTGAAGTACCGACTGAAATCGATTTGAGAAGAAAAGTGGGGCAGCGAAGGCCAATTGACTCAACACCACATGCTTCGAAAAGATTGTAACTTTCTTTCAAGAAGAATTTTGCTACACTCGCATCCACCAGGTAGCTACTCAAAAGTTCTTGGAAACCTTTTTGTTTTGTTGCATGTAAAATATAGAAAGACAGAAAAGATTTAAATCACACAATTTTGTTAATTTTTTATTTATGATTTTGTTTGAACATAAAATATAAAATCTTAGGAATATTCAATTTACTGACATCTGAGTGCACTGAGAAGATGCCAAGTGACAAAATCCGAAGAAAGGCAGGATATAGTCAGCCACAAGTTTGATCTGAATCGAAATCTTTTGTAGTCACTGTTTTTTAACTCAATCCAACAAAGTAGAGGAAAATCCCAAAAAAGAAAAATGAGTAAACTGCATCGCATGAACCAGGTTCCTTAGCAGCAGCCAAAAATTCTTGCCCAGAGCATACTGCAGCTGCTGCACCGACTGTCAAACACATTTGCTGCTCAATCAAAAGCTAACACATTCTATGGTACACTTGCTTGAAGATCCAATGATGCTCAAACAAATCCTATGTTTCAAGGCTTTTAAATTTCTTATCGGTACTTAACAATTTCTAACATAAAGATAAATTCATATTTATGGCGATTGATATTTCAATATTGTTGCCCTCCCATGCCACGACACCAAAATTATGTCTCCTACCCCAACATTAATATGCATGATAATCCCTATAACAAACTATATGTCTCCTAGCTACAAAAAAGTTGTTTTAGGCATGTCCCAGAGGTGTGGTTCAACAAGGCATGGTCATGGCACCTAGACACTTGGTACCATTTTTTGTCCTGTTGAAACCGGCAGCTTATTGAAGGATATAGGTTCATAAGTATTTCTTTTCTTTCCCTTTTGAACAAGTGCCATTATCGGATGTACTGGTGCACTATGTTTCACTGTACATATACCCACAGTAGAGATAAATCAAAGAAATTTTAGATTGGATGAGTCACACCATACTTCTAACTATTAAAATTATATTGGAGAGTTGTTGATAGAATGAGAAGGTCCACTGCTATTAGACAAAAGGATCTTAAAGCTGTAAAGTATTACATTTTGGTACCTGGACTGCTTGTGCTGCTTTTGAAGAAGATTATGATGCAGCATAATCCACCATAGTCGGCAGCTATATCGTCGAGATTTAAGAAGCAGCTTCTCAAAGCAGCAGGTATAACTTACGGTATATAGGGCATGTTTGACCACTGTCTCTTCTCTTTTAAAAGATGCATTTCATCAAAAGATACAAAGCACATGTGCCTTGAACTTGTTATTTTGTTGTTCCTGAATGTAAAATAGTCATCAACCAGCAAATGAGCACAAGAAATTAGGCTAAAATTTCCCACTACACTTGATTAGAAAAGACAGCAAACCTTTCTACTATGCCACACCACAAATCATGAGGGTGTTCCCAGTGGAAATTTCTATTTTCTTCCGACATAAGCTGACAATTTGGACAAGTCTGGAATCCAAAACGATAATTCAGAAGAACCAGTAACGAACATTAGATTTCCTGGAGCCCATTTTATGATCGGAGGTTCAGTTTCAGTACTCGTCCAGCTGGCCACCTGGACAGACAGGAAGAACAAGCATTACCATCCGAGTCAGGCAGCATAAGAAGTTAAATACAAATGTAGACAGCAGCAAAAGTGAGAGTGCACACACATGCATCAAGACACACACATACACAGCAAAGAAACAAAATCCAGTCAGCAAGATGGATTTGAAGGTGCAAGTTTGAACGTCAAATATACAAATTCCATATACAATGTTTACGTAGTGATTCATTTGGCTGCCAACAAAAGAACAAGCAAAAAATTTGGAACATGATCACCACAAGGGGTTGGAATATATCTGTAAATATGGAAAAATTGAGAGAGATTCTTTGGTGTCCAAACCACAAATAAATAAGATTACAAATGTATTTTAGTGGCCCTCACAACCCCCCCCCCCCCCCCAAAAAAAAAAAAATCTCCCACCAAATTACCTGAAGTATATTGCTTAGTCCTTTTTTCCCTCACCCATGTGGTAAAGGGTATTGTCATCCCATTGTTTTGCAAGTAGCAACTGTTATTGACATCTTGAATTCCATATTTTATTTAGGATATATGGAAAGAAATTGCACAGTAATGGGACAATGAACCACAGTGCATTTGGCATGCATTACAACTATACAAAAACACCACAGCCCTATGAACGGCCAACATTCTAACACAGCAACATTCCAGATATATATTTGAAGAAAAAAAGGTGGGCAGATTTTTAATGATGCGAAAGAATAAAACAGTGGCTAGTCATACTTCTTTGCCACTACGAACACTCCAGGCATAGACATTACCATCACCTGAACCTGCCAAGTAGTAAAACCATGAAATATTAGCTTTAAGAGGCAAAGAAATGAGTGCCCCCCCCCCCCCAAAAAAAAAAAAAATCCCCCCATTCTTTCCCTTGTTTGTGGCTCAGGAGATAAATTGAAGGCAGAACCTTAGCCTCCTTGGAAAAAATCTGACCAGTTGACTCCTTAGACCATTTTTTCTTTTAGAAAAACACATGAAATATAGAAGAACTAGCAATAACCTGTGCCTAATGGCAATAGGTAACACAAATAAATCAAATATCAATCATGTAGTATAAATATATGACATAACAATTTATTTTTTCTTCCTTTTTCTATAATGACACAACTCAAAATTAATCTTGTCCCACCATTTATAAAAAAAAAATTGGGAGTGAGAAGATTTTGTTTGGCCTTAGGGTGAAAAGGTATTGGGTGGGAAAAGGTATTGTGCTAAGCTAAGTTGGGGATTCAAAATGGGTCTTATTTTATTATATAGATATATAGATTGGATGTTACAAGTCTCCATATGTATTTAATTCTTCACCCTGCTTGAGGAAGAATAATTGACTGACGCGACACACAATAGGGCACAACTTGGAAAGGTTGCTTAAAATAAATCTGAGTTGGTTTCAACAAGATCTTATACCACAAGTTAGGCAAAGAAACATGAATTTGGCACCACGAAGAGTTACAATGAAAGACGTGTCTCGGAGAATAGGTTCAAATGCTAACATAATTAATCTGATAAATCGTTTGATGGACCGAGGGAAAACCAAAATATTTTGGGTCACTGTGAATCATAGTACCAACACGATAATATCCCACAGTTTGCAATAACTATGGATTGCTCAATATTTTATGAAAAAGTATTGACTGAGCCTTAATCATAATTATCAAAATCTCGATCTACATCCTAGAATCTTAAGATCCTACAATCCAATATACGCAAATCGATTCAAGTCTCATCTAGGATCCTAAATTCAGAGGATCTTAATGAATCGCGATCTGAATCTTATAGGATCTTAGGATCCCGATCCAAATTGAGACTTTACCGATCTAAGTTATTGAATTTGTTTGGTAGACTTATTTCGTTATCGAGCAATTCAATCCATACTTTATTTTTATAGTTAAGTACTCAATACAAATGTGAATACCTTATGTACTTGTAAGTGTATTGGGAAATTTCAATGGATGAAAAAAGTTACTGGAAGTTTGTTTTTCAAAAATATTTTTTTTTCATTCATCTCTCAAAAAGTTAAAAGCAATGGTTTAATTTAATCTTCTCTCACGGTGAGTGATCATAGCCAAATGGTCTTTTATTTTTTTCCCTTATTTATTTTTTTTTTTTTTGGTTTGAATGTCGAATAGTCAAAAGTTATTATCCAAAAACTTTTCAACTTTTTAGTCTCTTCTCTGAAAGTTGAGATAAAAATACTTGAATTTTTTTATTCCTCTTTGCACAACCTCACAAGATTAACAGTCCATCTTTGATCTTAAACCTTATTCAATGTTGAAATTGTAGTTTATCAAATTTCAATCATAGCTTAAGTTTGATCTTTATCGTTATATTCCTATTTGCATAAATATTAGGCTTGTTCAAGTATTGTTTTTGAAAATTTTGTATTGCTAAATATATTTTTCGTCTTATTCTCTCGGTTGATAAGATCTTACAATCTCACTCCGATCCTAATCTTGTAACCTCCCCCATCGATCCAAGATAGGATCCTGATAACAAACTAGTATTTGTAAGTTCCAAATCTTCAAAAAAGTAAAAAGAATACAATACAAATTGTTTGAAAAATGTCTTCCTACATAGCTGTTAGAACAGTAGCATTACCTGATATTACAAACATTCCCTCAGGGCTGAAAGATGCCTCCAAAGTGGAATTGCTCGAAACTGGTTTGACATTGTATGTCCATAACTATATCAAGAGCAAGCGTAAAAGCACATCAAAAAGGAATATTCACTATACAACTAATTTCAGACAAAAGCTTGTATGAAAGGATGAAAACAACTCACAAGTGTCCCACGAAATGAATCAAGCACGTGAATATGCCCATCTGTAGTTGTCAAAAGTACAAGTCTCCCATCGTTGCTGAATTTGATTATATTTGCATCAGACATATCTCCCCCAACAGAAAATATGTCAAAAGGGCCCTTAAGTAATCATATTTAAGTAAGTTAGTGTTAGCTAAAACTAAAATATATTGATGTAACAAATAGATACAACTGAAATTTATAGATGAAATTATTCTATCAACTACCGGCCTCTAAGACATTCCTGTGAATCCAATCCTAACCTTTTCATAATTGCGAGCATCAAACATTCTTATGTATCCTCCAAAAGCAATAGCAAAGATAAGGCCCTGATCATCATAAGCAGTAGCTGGCCTTCCTTGAACACGTAAAAGACCCTAAAATACAGAATGGATCAGTTACCAAATTGAAGAAAAACACAATTTCCAAGAGAGCATCAGCCGAGGTATTTACCTGGCATTTTTCAGCTCTTTGATCCCAAAGCAAAACAGTGCGATCAAGAGAACCAGAGATGAAACATTCTTTTCGAGAGCACATGCTGAGAGAGACAACCCTAGAAAAATCAACAATAACACTTTCACACATCTTCGAACATTATACAGCAAAAGCTGTAGGTAGAGGACTAGGGGGTAAAAGGAATGTCAACAGTGTTGGAAATTGTGCCTGTCATGGTGACCCTTGAAGTACCGCAAATACTTGTTGTCATGCAATGAAAGAAGCCGCAGCGATTCTGAATTCATTGATCACATAAAATAAGTGATGACAAAAAATATACTCACAAATGTTGTTCCGATATACATACCATCCCAACCATTCTTCGAAGAGTATATGACAGTTGTGGGATGCGAAGTAAAGCAAACTAAATCCACTCCATACTTTTTGCTATTAATTGTCTTCAGACATCTGGCAGCAGGTCAGGTTTCTCAGCCCTTCTAGCCAATATGAAGGAAATGCCCACACAATAAAGATGATTTATTCAAGAATGATCTATTATTTAATTATGGATAAAACTATATGATGGTATGAATGATCCAACAAAACCAGGGAGACAGTAAAATCTTCACCATTCCAGATTTTCTACAGTAAAAAGAGAGTCAGTAAACTAGTGCCGTGAATCACATGTAACTTCACCCCAATCAAAACACTAACAAGTTACAATATTACTAACCTACTGATCAGCCCACTCTTGATCATATTCAGGTCAGAACATAAGGACATCTTTATGCAATAAACTTTAATCCTTAAGGATATATCCAACTCTCCATTCATCCTTATATGGATCAAACTAACAACCTCTATCTGGAGGTCTCAAATCTACCTGATAAGTATTATCATGCATTTAAATCAAAACCTCGCAAAACCATTTGGAATGCCAAGGGTACAAAATAAGATTTTGCAAAAAATTCCAAAATGCATGCCGATGTATCACATTCTCACACAATGGCTCAGAAAACTTATAACATATTGAACGAAAAAACAACAGGAGTTATCAGAACAACTTGACCAAACATTACAACACTTCCATCAAGAGATCCCAAATTACTCATAGAATCAATGCAGGATGGACTAAATGGAGGAATGCATCCGGGGTCTTATGTGATAAATGCATACCACTTAAGCTAAAAGGAAAGTACTATAGAACGGTTATAAGACCCGCTATGTTTTCTAGTGCAAAGTGTAAGCCAACTAAGAAACAACAGTTCACAAATTGAGTGTAGCAAAAATGAGAATGTTAAGATGAATGTCCGATAAACCTCTGAAAGATAGAATTAACGATGATATTATTATTGAAAAATAGAGTTGGCACATACAGAGGATAAATTAAGCGAGAATCAACTTAGTTGGTTTGGACATATATATAGATAGCCTACTATGATCCCGATGAGAAAGAGTGTTATAATAAGTATTGAAGGTAAACATAGGAATAAAGGTAGGCCAAAATTAACTTTAAGTGAAATAGTACAGAAAGAGATGATAACTTAAGCGTTAATAGAAAGCATGGTCATTGATAAAGCACAATAGTGAAAGAAGATTCATGTAACCGACCCCAAAATGTTGGGATAAGGTTTTGTTTTGTTGAGTTGAATTGTACTACAACAATTCCATTAAGAAACATGAAAATTTTTTCAAAGTCTACCACAGTGTTGTTAAAAGCGTGCCTAGGCCCAAAGGCTCAGCGAGGATTAGCGCTTCAAGGACTCAAGGCGAGGCGAGTGTAGAAAAATGCAGCTGATGCGCAAAAAGCACGCACTTCATGCTTAAGCAAAAGTCCATGGGATGCTTTTTTGTTTTTTTGAAATTTTTTCTATGATAAATCTTTCTATAATAATACTTCTATGACGTATTACCACACTTTATTTTACCCCTTGGAATATATATACACTAAACCCAAACCTTAACCTATGTCTCTAATTGTAATTGACCCACAGTAGGACTTCATGTTTATTTATTCCATGACTTTGGATGTTTGTGCTTTGGATGAATTTGACTAACTGCATTTAAAATTTTGGACTTAGATGCCACATAATTTATGATATGATTTTATTATTATATTTTAAGTACTCTTAGGTTACTTTGGTTGTGACTTGTAATATTTATTACTTGGCTGAAAAATTTTTGATATAAGGAAAATATTCAGTTGTAATTTACAATGTAAGCTTCACTTCGATAAAGCCCACACTTCACTTTGTGGCTTGCACTTAGGCCCCAGGAGGCCTTAGTGCTTCGATGCGACTTATGCCTTAAACGACACTGGTCTACCGTATAGCTAAGCTCTAACTTAAAGCTTATCAATAGTTTGGCTGCATCACACATACCCACATTTAAGATAATCCAACCACACATAGATCATCATGTTATAATCCAAATGATAAATAACGAAAAGGCTTGAAATTGAAAGAGTCAGGAGAAGAAATAAGACAAAAACTGAAAAAATCCACACAATAACACCAATATTCTACAAAAAAACACATCTTAGTTTCAATATAATACAATGTCAGAAACTGATCTCACTCTTCTAAAAAGACATTTTACTTTGAATAAAATAAAACAACAGAAACTAGAGGTATACGTTGCATTGGTGACATCGTACAGGCGAATGGATTCATCGTCACTAGCAGTCACCAGAAAACTTGATGTTCTATGGAAATCCATTGAACTGATCCTACCATTCTGCACATGGCAATTACTATGTGAGTGTTTCAATTCTTTGTGGACAAACAGAGAAAATTATTAAAGTTGTTCTACAAACATAAGTCAGTTTTCAAATTACACTAGAGGACAACAAATGCAACACTATATTTCTGAAAATACTAAAAAAAATAATAGAAAAATGAAAATAAAAGCACGTTAAAACACGAATTCACATATCTGCTATCACCCCCCCCAAAAAAAAAAACCACGAGAACATTGACATCGTGATACTACAGCTTGAAATATCACCCCTTGCATTTGATTGTTAGTCTGCAGTACCTCAATTTCCAAGCAGCATCTGATGATCAAAACCCTCGAGCTTTACAAAATCTGGCATGCCACTCGATCAAACTCTTATAAAGCAAATCAATTCTTTTTTTCTAATAGTTTTAGCAAAGTCAAAAGCTTCAATTTTTATCAAATTAAGTTAGGCTAACAACAATGTTTTCTAGCGCTACACTTTACTTCATCAATTTCAAAAATTTACTATCAACAAGGATCAAAATTTCATTTCGGTGCATTGTTTTGGTCCCCTAGTTAAAGGAAACGTTCAACTTGTTTCGAAAACGCTTCGACTCGTTTAGGAAATAAAATGAAAAAAAATTAAAATTTAAGAATTATTTTTCCAAAACATTGGTCGAAATATACCAAAATATCTTGAAACACCTTGAAACATTCTGAAATAATTGCGTAAATGCATTGGAAAATACAAAACGCCTCAAAATATTATGAAACACATCGAGATATTAGAATTTCGATTCCATTACTAACCCGTTTCGGTCTCCTTGAAAACGGACACGTTTCAAAAGTTCAAACTATTTCGAAACGAAATTTTGATCCTTGACTGTCAATCATTTCTTAGTAAGCTAAATAGTATATTGGAAAGCTTAAAACTAAACCAAAAAGACTTAAAATAAAATAACCAGATTCATCAGGTGAATAATTTTCTATATTGTCCTAGAATATTTTTAGAGGTAAATAGATTATCAAACTGGCTAGAGAAAATGGAGATAGGGTTAAATGTACATAATCTCGAAACGCCATGCCTACTTCCATGCTTTGAAGGATTTCTTCAGTGAGTTCCAATGAGACTCTGTCTTCTCTTTCCGATTGTCCACCTGGAATCAAAAACATACAGTAAAATCAACAACAACTAACAACTCGACAGATTCTGATAGAAATCCAACAGATATTATTCAAAGGACCTGCCATCGTTGTTATTATCCAAAGATTTGCAGCAGTGATGTTGAAAAAGCCTTTCTTTTACCAGCAGCGTCTTTGAAAGCAAGAACGAGGAGTAAAAGGAGGCTTTATGCAGCTGCAGTTGTGATCAGGCACATTGACAAATCAAAGCTGATAGGATTTTTGTGGATTTGATTTTGAATCCGATAAAAATATGCAATCCAAATTCCATCCGATTATTTGCCAGATTTTTTTGTCCCTATCTACATTCAAATCCATTAAATATAAAAATTCAATCCCAAAATCCAATTCAATGCTACTAACTTATAGCAAATCACAACTTTTTCAATTGAACTTTATCATATGATCAATTAATTTTCTCACATACTTATATACTAGCTAATGTCCGAGCCTAAAAGCAATTTGATATATAAATTTCGTGCATCGAGTCAGAGTGAGTAGCTACCTAATTGAAACATTGTGCCAACAAAAGTGAGGGATCCAAATTCTGATCCTTATCGTCAGCAAATAGAATCCCTGCAGAAGCCAAACCCAAGTGCACAATGCCAATGAAAACCTAAGTTGGATTCAAACCCAATAATGGGAACATATGATATGTATCAACTCTGAGTGATTCTAAAGTATCTAAACACGGATAAGATTTTTGGTATCTGTTGGTCATATCAAATTTCAGATACTGTCAATTGAAGATATGATTATCAAATAACCGCAAAAGAACTTAGAAGGATCGTGGCGAAAACTTGTCTCACATGAAACTAAAAACTTAGAATTACAAAGCAAAATTAAACCACAACCAATCCACTGATTTTATACTTACCAAACTAAAATCAAATTGACAACGGTTATCTAAGGGCTAGCTAAACTTTACTGTAATACAAATTTCATTTCTAAGAGTATAATCAAAAAATGCAAATTAACAGACGGCCCCATAAAATTAAAGAATACCTCTAAGATTTCCAGGTAAGATGGAAATCTTACCTCTGCCTGCCACTGATGAACTGATTCTATACCTGCAATCAGAATGCAAATGGTACATCAGGATTTTAGTTTAGACCAAGGAACCCAAAAATTGATGACATCAAAATTTCTTCAAACCAACCTAAACCCAAAATCACCAAAACCCTACAAATTGGCAAAGCACTGTCAGTATCCAACTGAGGGTGCGAGTGTGTCCGTGCGTGACCCTCTGTGTGTGAGGGGGGGCAAATCTCTCTGTGAATGTGTGCGTGTGTATAGGTGGATTTTGTCTCTGTGTGTGAATCTGGTTGTGGGCGTGAAAATATGTGTTTGTGGGTTTGTATAAGTGTGCGTGTTTCAGTATGTTTGCAGAACATGAAGAGAGATAGAATAGATAGACGGAATACCTGGAGAAAAGGAAAGGCGGAGGCTGGCGCGAGGGCCCTAGAGAGGGAAGAGGCGAGCTTGAGAGGACAGAAAATGAGAGGCAGTAAGGCGTGTTTGGATTAATTTTTTACTTAGTTCAGGAAAGATTTTAAGATTTCTACTTTTAGTCTTAAAAATTAAAATTTTCACGTTACTTTCTCAATGTAACAAAAGTACTATAACATAGCTCTTATGTTAGTTTATGTTATTTTTTTTATTAAAAGTCAACTCATTGACACTGATAAAAAAATTAACGAAAAATTAAATAAAAAGGTTACATTGAAACTCTATTGATACATTAAAGGTGTAATATGAAAAATTTAATCTTTAATAAAATAAAGTGAAAATCTTAAAATTTTTTAAGGTATAAAGTGCAATTCGCCCTAAATTCTAATTCATAAAATTAATCAGTCTACCATTTCTATACCCGTTTTATTAATAACCATACTCACTTAATTCTATACCCACTTCACTAATGGCTAAACGCATCTCAATGTTCAACTTTAGGACATATTTAGTTCAGGTATAAACAAAGGAGAGGATTGTAATTGGTTCACATCCAACCCATACAAATGATATTAATATGAGTATTATTTGATCTTATCCTTTGTGTAACAAGTTTGAATTAAGGTTGGGATAAAACATAAATCTATAATTATAATACCAAATTTATGTTTGGATTAAGTAATAGTATATGGTATTAAATTAAAAATGAGAAAGCAAATATTGAAGGCAAGAGTTCGCATAATGTGTAATTTTTAAATGAAGATTTGAATCTAGGTTTGCACGGGTATAAAGTCATTATATTTTTAATATTAAACTTGTTAAAAATAATACCACCTACCACATGATATTTATTAATACCTAATATAGGATTACCTTAACTTTTTATCCAAAAGTTTGTTTAATAGTTTCTCCACTCATTTCAAAATCAATCTGCATAATTATCGGCGTTGATTTCTCATATTACATCCTTCCAATTGTGTAAACATTTCTTTTTTCAAGCTTCTAATCTTCAATATTCATAAAATCGATCCTTAACTCTAACCTATCTTAATGATGGATTAAGAGGAACAAAAAAAAGAATTTTATATTCCCACGACGAAATTCCAATAACATTAAAAGATCTCATACCAGGATAAAAGTTTGCACCAATCATTGAGTATCATCCTTGTTCTAATAATTCTTCACTCTATTTGACCTCGAGCTTTTGAACATCTATATAATGATGCCCCTAAAACTGGGGGTCCTTTATTAACCGTTGACTACCCGTCAACCTGTGGAATTATTCGTGATTGTCGTCTAATTCAACATCACGTCAGTAAAACCCCTTTAACCAGGGTTGTTATCCACTCGTATAACATATGCATATTTTGTCATTTGACCAAACTGAGGTCCAATGTACCACATTTTCATTTTCCAATTGCATCATTTAAACAAAAGGATTCATAGCCCAAAAACATGTAACACGATTTTAAAATTTTCAAAAGTTTGGAAGGTGTACCGGTACTCCATACCGGTTCGAGTTGCCCACTGGACCTCGTCATACCCGTATGAGTTACCCACTGGAAAAACCACACTGGTACAGGTAACCCACTGGATTTCGTCGTACCGGTACGCCATACTGGTACGCTTTGCTTACTTTTGTCTGTTTCTCCCGTTTTTCATTTCCAACTCATTCTTAAGCATATTATTTTCACCCAACACATGTAAAATGAAGAGTTTCATATTACACATGGTCTATACCATTTCGATTACATTAATTTGCATGAATTTACATGTCAAAACTAGTTTCCATACAAATTTTACAAAAACTCAAAATAAAGTCACATTCCGGCTTTCTTCATCCTTGAGGTCCCAAGTGAGGGTCTTCCATCGACGTATTCTCTGCACCTGAAATATTTTTTCGTATAAGGTGAGTCACGCCCAGTAGAGTATTTCCTATAAAGGCTACTCCCTCAACCTAGATGTATATGAAATGCACACACATAACATTCAACACGTAAACAATCATTCCAAACAAGAATATGCAAATTCAATGTTAGACTTTCTATCATGTCATGACATGAAATGAGATGAGACTCACTCATGCCCTTTAACCCAAGCCCTCACCAGTTCCCACCACACAATGCAATGCCAATGTATAAAAAAATTTGCCATTGATGAATTACATCTAATGATCATTTTGAAATAAAGTCATGTGGTTATAAGACCAAATCATTGTTGGATGTTACACATCGAATGATTATTTTATAAAACAAAATCATGTGTCTTTGTTGGATAGCAGACTTTTGGTGTCTCACCGCTAGCTCCGCAAACCAATACACTTTTTTGGACTTGCATCGTAGGAAGTGTATAAAACCAGTAGCCGAGTATTGCATCCGAGGGAGAGTCTAACCCTACTTGCTATACCCGACACAAGTTTTTCTTGCAATTGTGCGACTCAGTCGGATCGTCGATCTAACTTTTTCGAGCCCACCTATCATCCACCTATGTGGTATTTGATATCAACCATGCACCCACACACCCACACTCATGTGTTTATGCCCATGAATGTGATGCCAACATCATGCCCCATATGCAATGAATGCCAATGAGCAATTTCCACCATTCCATCACCAATTATATCAAAAAGCATATAATTTCATAATTCATCATAATGCGAATATGTCATAACACATATGTTAACATTATATCTAACAACGATTTTCAAGCATTTTAGCACATAATCTATGCCAATAACACTTTATTCACAAGACATAATAAAAGTACATTACATGCCCACATAAACACCAATTTTCATGAAATTACACAAGTAATTACCACACACTAATTCCATGCTAGGAATTCATTTTAAACCATTTTATACCCATTTCATATAAACACCCTAGGTTGTAAAATAAACTAAAATAGGAAGGAGCCCTATCTCTTGAAGCATAAAGAACACGTTGGGAAGCTCCATGACTTCAACCCGAGCTCTAATCCAAGATTTCTCAAAAAACAAAATTTCAAAATTCGGTGAAAACCCTCGTTTTTGGTACGTAGGCGTAGCCCTCGATGAAGAGACCGACCTTTGTTCTTGGCCCGAGTGGATTCGATCACTCAATCTTCGTAGATCGTAGATAGAAGGTGAGAATTCTCTTTTTTCCCTCTCTTCTCTTATCACATTGAACCAGCTGATAAATGTGGGGGAGAAATCAGATTTTCCTCCTTTTTATACCCTCCATTTACTTGGCTCACGTTGTGCCATACACGACCCACTTTTTTTTCGGGTTTCTTTTTGATCCGAAATGATTAAATTTTATCCCGGTTTAATTTTAAAATATTTTTATTTTAATTTTCCTTCAAATTATTTTTCAAATTTAGAAATTTTATTAAAAATCTAATGTTTAGGTCACCTGAGACTCGACTATCTCGTGAAAATTTGACTATCTCGGAATTCGACAAAATTTGACGGGATAATTAGATTTCGCGAGACGAATTCAACGGTGAGGTCCGTTTTGTCATCCGAGTTGAAAAAAAATTTAGATTTTTAACCCATACTATAGCGACAAATTACTGTTTTTCCCCTTTTACGAAAAGTTCAAATTTACCTGAGTTTTATATTTTTCCCCCCTTAAAAGAATTTCGTCCCCGAAATTCACACACTTAACTGTATGCATATGCAACAATAATTTTATACTTAAAATTATAGAAATGTACCTCCATCCTCAAACAGGAATGAATAATTGGTACGTATGGTATCCTTACGCTCCCATGTCGTCTCCTCCATGCCTCGGCGCTGCCACAACACTTTCACTAGCCTCACGATCTTGCCCTGTAAAATCTGCTCCCAGCTATCCATGATGCACGCCGGCCCTTCCTCGAAGATCCCATCAACATCAACAATCAACTCACCCCAATCCACTACATGTGTCGAATCTGGAGTATACTTCTGGAGCATAGAGACATGGAACACCGCGTGAACACTTGATAAATTTGGCGATAACGTCAATTTGTAAGCCATTGTACCAACCCTTTCAAGTACTTTGAAGGGCCCCATATATCTCGACGAAAGCTTTCCCTACTTGCCGAACCTGACCACTCCTCTCTTAGGCATCACCTTCAAGAAGACATGATCTCCCACCTCAAACTCTAGAGGTTGTTGCCGTCTGTTGGTGTACCTCATCTGTTGGCTCTGAGCCATGAAGATACGCTTCCATATCAATTTCACCTTCTTTGAGGTGTCTTTAACCAATTCCGAACCCGTACAGGGTCTTTCTCCTACCTTCGTCCAACAAATCAGAGAACGACTAGGTCTCCCATATAATGTCTCATAGGGTACCATTTGTATGCTCGCCTGATAACTGTTGTTGTAGGTGAACTCCACTGAAGGTAGGTGCTCTTCCTAGCTACCCTTGAGATCTAACATGTCCTCTAAGGTTTGGATGGTCCTCTCCGACAAATCGTCCGTCTGGGGATGAAAAATTATGCTCATCATCAACTGTGTCCCCATGGCTCGTTGAAAACTCTTCCAAAAATGAGCTGTAAATTTGGGATCCTGATCTGATACTATAGATACAGGTACCCCATGCTACTGTACAATCTCCCGTATATATAACTAACAGAATTCCTCCAGTGTGAAGGTTATTCATACTGCCAAAAAGTGTGCCGACTTTGTAAGTCGGTCCATTATCACCTGCACCGCGTCATGTCCCTGCGATGTCTGTGGCAAGTGGGTCACAAAATCCTTTGTGACGTGCTCCTACTTCCACTCTACTACCTCCAAAGGCTAGAGCAATCCCGTTGGTCTCTGGTGCTCGGCCTTGACCTGCTGACACGTGAGACATCGCCCAAAAAAATCCCCAACGTGTCTCTTCATTCCGCTCTAATAATACTGATGACGAAGATCATGGTACATCTTCGTGCCACCTAGATGCACCACAAATCGGGAGCAATGGAATTTCCTAAGGATCTCTTCCCTTAACTCAGCTAACTTGGGAACCACAACCCTTCCCCCTATACTGAAGACTGTCATCTAAGTGAATGACCCAACCCTCGTCACCAGTACCTGCCTGCACTCAGTCCCTGATGGATAATAACTTTGGATCCTATCCTTGAGACTTGATCACCCTGCTCAGTAGGGAAGGCGTAGCCACCAAACTCTCCAAAACATCCTGAGCCTGACCTTGATAAATGTAGTCTAAACTGTCCCACAGTCTCGAGCATCCGGCATTCTCGGGAAGCCATTCTAGCCAAGACTCCCCGTGACTTTTGGTTGAGTGCATCAACCACCACATTTGCCTTACCGGGATGGTAATACAAAGTGAAGTCGTAATCTTTCAGATACTTCATCCACCTGTGCTACCTCATGTTGAGGTCCCGCTGTATAAAGATATACTTCAGACTCTTGTGGTTCGAAAACACTTCAAACTACTCATCATACAAATAGTGGCGCTAAGCCTTTAGTGCAAAGACAATGGTCGCCAACTCCATGTAATGCGTAGGGTAATTTTGCTCGTGGTACACTGTGTACATCTGTTCCCTCTCCGAGACTATCAAAATAGGAGTTGAAGTAAGCCTCATCTTCAACTCCTATAATGCCTTCTCACACGAATTATTCCACTCAAACTTGACCTCTTTTAGGGTTAACTTGGTCATAGGTGCGGTTAAGCAAGAGAAGTCCTCAATGAACCTCCGGTAGTACCCTGCCAGTCCCAAGAAACTGCGTATCTCGAATACTGACTTCGGACTCTCCTAACTCATAATCGCCTCAACCTTCTTCGGGTCCACAGATACACCTGAAGCCAACACCACGTATCCCAAAAACTTTATCTCTATAAACCAAATTTCACACTTGCTGAACTTAGTGTACAACTGATAGTCTCTCAATGTCTGGAGAACAATCCTCAAGTGACCCTCATGCTCCTCCTCAGACTTAGAGTAGATCAGCATGTCGTCAACAAATACTACAAAAAACTGATCTAAATAGGGTTAGAACACCCTATGCATGAGATCCATGAATGCTGTCGGGGCATTTGTCAATCTGAAAGGCATCATGGTGAACTCAGAATGCCCATACCGCATTCTAAACGCCGTCTTAGGGATATTTGCCTCCCTAATCCTCAACTGATGGTAGCCAGTGCGAAGGTCTATCTTGGAGTAAACTCGTGCTCCCCTCAACTGATCAAACAGATCATCAATCCTTGACAAAGCGTACCTATTCTTGATAGTAACCCGTTACAACTGTCGATAATATATACACAACCGAAGGGTCTTGTCCTTCTTCTTGGCAAACAACACCGGAGCACTCCAAGGTGAAGTGTTCGATCTAATAAAGCCATTGTCCAACAATTCTTGCAATTGGACCTTGAGTTCTTGCAACTTAGTTGGTGCCATCCTATGTGGAGTCATAGAAATAGGCGATGTACCGGGATGCAACTCAATGCTAAAGTTTATATCCCTATATGGAGGTAATCCTAGTAGTTCGTCCAAAAAAATATCTTCATAGTCACAGACAACCCGAGGTAGACCCAATTCCTATCTCACCTCATCCTCTAAGGTAAGGCTCGTAAGTCAATCCATCAACTGCCCGTGCCATCGAGAGTCATATTCTATGGAATTGATATGGAAGCGTATCTGGGCACAACCAAACTCAGGCCATTATTCTATGGACTGCGCTCCTGGGTTAGTAAACCTCCTATGTCTGACATAATTGCCATATAGCAGACCCATGAGCGTCGGCTGGTGGATCCCTTTAGTAGATCCTCTAATCAATTCCCAGTAGTCAATGCATCTTTGCCACTAACCCTGGAGCGCTACGGAGGCCTGTTACCACCCTTGGGAACCCCACCAGGAGCACCAGAGCCACAACGAGTCACCACACGACCAGCATGGCGCCCTTTTTTGCGCTCCTGACTAAGCGAGACTTATAAAAAGAGCTGCTTTATACATCTATTAGATCAAAAAGATCCAGGACATGACCTGTGCCTCAGTCCACGCCAATGTTTTTTTGTCATCCATGTACGACTTCAATACGACAGCACAGCCACCATATTACACACCAGTCCATCAGCAACTACACTTAAGGCCAGGCACCGGATTTGTTATAGCGCCACATGCCTATGATTTAAAAGGCTTTTTTTCCACGACAGGCCCGGGCATCAATCCAGTCAGCTTCACCAGAAGTAGGTTTCCAGACGGTCAGGCAGCCTACAACACATGCACGTTTTGGACACCAACACAGGAGGCTAGGCAGCAACCAAGGCGTGACCTAAGTGAATTCAGCTAGAGGCAAGCGTCAGCGAAGACTTTCCTCGAAAGATTTTTGAGTTTTGATGAACAGAACAGCCATTCATCCTTTCATCTGCTCCTGACGTCGCAGGGCTCTGATATAGTTTTGTTGAAAAGAACAGCAACTCATTGACTTTGCTCCGGTAGTCGCAAGGCGCATTAGATCGAGTTCCCGAAGCGCACCTGTTATATATAAAAACTCCTTACTAAGCAAGACGACTCCATCTCCTGACAGATGAGATTGGACTCAAGCCAAACAAAGGAAAGAAGTCACCACATTCTTACTTATTTTACGAAATAAGAAGAAAAACAAGATGAGATTTTCAGCAAGTGGAGTGCTCACGCACAGAACGAGAGTCTCAGATCCAGTTACGTCAAGTTTATCAGGCTCCAAAGGAAAGGCTTAAAAGCTGTAGTGAGGAACTCCGTACTCTTGATAGGGTACCGAAAAAATAACTCCTTAAATCACAAACCTATGAACTGAACGATGTTACCGCAACGGGCTAGTTCCTGCGAATGCAAAGCGTTACTACTCGAAGAGGAAGACCTTACCAAAACCAAAAACCAACGGAAATCAGTATGCAAGGCATGTACTATACTAAAGGGGGCAAGCAAGCCAAGGTTTTTATACTATATAGGTTAACGCCCTTTCCTCTCCCTCGCTAGCCTCCTTCGCCGTGCTGCCATCCATCCACTCAACTATCCCGCTCGCACACTCGACTAGACATGGGACAACTCGCCTGTTCGCCTATGAATGATGCTCTACCTCACTCGACTTGCACTGCGCATCTCGTCCTACACCTCCGAAATCTGCAGACGGAGCAACAGTATGTCGAAGACCAGATCGTTCTGGTTTATTCGTAGCACTTGACCATCATCCACGGCCATACCTACTCTTCTGGCCTTCCACTTGATCTGCCGGTAGTTACTGAGATGTTTCAGCTAGGCAGCCCGGCGGGAGAAGTACTGCTCCTGGTAACTTTCGTCACTGACTGGGGGAAAGAGGCTTTCCATTATGATCGACGTTCAAATTCTATTGTGAAGGGGGAAACAGTGGTATGACCGATATTCGACCCAAGGCCTTTTATAGTATAGTGAGGAAGACTTGTGCCAACCATGATATCATTACTATGAGCTATATTTTCTCGATCAGTGTGTCTGACAGCGAATGACAGATGCATTTAATGAAGTAATCATACGAGATCAGTCCTATCTTTTCGTAATGATAGGGTCTTTACCATTGGGATTCCAGCATTTTTAAGAGGACATTTTTTACATCGATCATTTCTTTTGGTTCCTATTAGATATTATATGGTCAGAGTTCGTCCTCGGCGCTTTTTTTCCAGAGGGGCTTATTATACTAAGGCGCAGTGGATTATTTTGAAACGTGCACAAAGACATAAAAAAAAGACAGGAAATGAGATGAGCAAGGGAATCAACATTCGATTTGAAACTATTGGCCAACTTCCGGGGTTACATCTTTTCTGGTTATATCAAGAGAAAGCATCCATAAAGGACAGCATCCCATGTCCACCAGAACATCGATGTAAGGAAGAGGAAATTCCTCTTTTGGGCTTGCCTTGTTTAGGCTTGGACTCACGGAACCTGCTTTCAAATTGAGGGAAAAACTGTTCTCGAAGAAGCGTGACCATCCAGTTGAATCTCGTTACCCTCCCGTGTGGTTATGGGGGCGGGCCTACTTTCCACTTTGTTACTATGGAGCGGGGCGGTAAGCAAGTGAATGTAATCCCGCCCTCCATCAGCCGGTGTGTGTGAGCTTCGCTCCTTATAGCTCTACACCGCCGCCGGCCACTTTCGTTCCTCTACCCTATCCATTGAGTCATTCTTTGGAAGTGAAGCACGTGACTCGATAGCGCAGGCACAAGACCTTTGAATGCAAACAAAAAATAGCGAGACCTCATATCAAAAGGTTTGGAACCCAAGCTTACCTTATTATTAGAGAAAGGGGAAGGTTTGATAAAGGGTAGTAGGTGTAGGTCTTTCCAGCCGGATTCATTAATGCAATGGAACTCCAAAACTTGAAGAACTGGCCTTGGAAGGAAAGATTTTAAAGCCGCTCAAGCAATTTATTTAAAAAGAAGAGCAAGCAAGATAAGGCTTTTCAGCCGTATCGCGCAGGAGCGCTCAAGCGCCCTATCTTACAACATAAAGGGGCTCGAAAGCTGCGAAGAAAGTCGAGCTGCTCTAATCGAGCTATGAAATCAGTGTGGTGAGGTATTGGAAGTGTTCAGCGAATTTAGAGAAAAACACTCAAAAAGAGCACCGTGCTATACTGGCAGAGCTTCAGCAAAACGAGGTAGGTAGCTTTCGCTAATGATAGATGGGTTTGGGGATTAGGTCTTCTAATTAATGGAATTCGTTTTCTCTTGACTTTATTAAAGCGGTATTCTCCCTTGACTCTATCTAAAAATGGAATCATGGAATTCTCTCCCAGAGCTGCGGAACTAACGACTCTATTAGAAAGTAGAATTACCAACTTTTATACGAATTTTCAAGAGATGATGTAAGGAATAATGGACTTAGATCACCTTTTTCTTCCTCATTCTGATCTTGGTTCGCGCTTTACAACAATGGGGGGAACCCCTTTTTATGGAGCGGCCAGGGCAAGGGATTAGTGCCGACGGCCCCTCGGCTCCACGCGGGCCAGCCGAGCCCGGCGTTCCGGACGAAAATCACCCAGAAAAAGAACGGCTACGAAAGCAAATTCGTAAAGCCCTTGTTCTACGTTCTACTACTAAAGAAGTTTTGCCGGCGTTATTGTAAGGGAATGGGCTTCTGCGGCAAGTATTGTGCAAGGGGACGAGAAGACTTTGATTATCTCCGCGCCGCAGATGAGATTGCTCGGCAGGAGTCTTTTTATCAGTCGCCGGAGGCCGATGTCAACGCCCTTAGAGGATTACGTAACTTCATTGTTAAATACAATGTTCTTCTAATTGGGGTGACGACATGAACGCGCACTTCATCTTCGACATCCTCCGTCGCGACCCTATCGGCGAGAACTGGGCTTGGCTTTCGTTCGCAACAAGGTAGCTGTAGGGAGAACCTATGGGCTGGATTGAATCCTTCTTTTTTTCCGGTATGCCGCTCCGCGAGCAAGGAGCGAGAGAACCAAGTGGGCTGTGGTGATGTCAGAATTTGCACCTATTTGTATCTATTTAGTGATCAGTCCGCTAGTTTCTTTGATCCCACTCGGTGTTCCTTTTCCATTTGCTTCCAATAGTTCGACCTATCCAGAAAAATTGTCGGCCTACGAATGTGGTTTCGATCCTTCCGGTGATGCCAGAAGTCGTTTTGATATACGATTTTATCTTGTTTCCATTTTATTTATTATTCCTGATCCGGAAGTCACCTTTTCCTTTCCTTGGGCAGTACCTCCCAACAAGATTGATCCGTTTGGATTTTGGTCCATGATGGCCTTTTTATTGATTTTGACGATTGGATTTCTCTATGAATGGAAAAGGGGTGCTTCGGATCGGGAGTAACCACTAGTGATAGGGAAAAAATCGGGGGAAGGACAAAGGAAAGAGCGATGCCTACATTAAATCAATTGATTCGTCATGGTAGAGAAGAAAAACGGCGCACGGACCGTACTCGAGCTTCGGATCAATGTCCCCAGAAGCAAGGAGTATGCCCGCGTGTTCCAACGAGAACACCGAAAAAACCTAATTCAGCTCCACGTAAGATAGCCAAAGTACGGTTGAGCAATCGACATGATATATTTGCTCACATTCCAGGCGAAGGTCATAATTCGCAGGAACATTCTATGGTCTTAATAAGAGGAGGTAGAGTAAAAGATTCGCCAGGTGTGAAATCCCATTGTATTCGAGGAGTCAAGGATTTGCTGGGAATTCCGGATCGAAGAAGAGGCAGATCAAAATATGGTGCGGAAAAACCCAAATCGATATGAATGGAAGATGCCTCTTGAACTTGTTTTTCTCGGTCAGTCGAGGGAACAACCACAACGTTACGCCCCAAAATAGAACTATACGGAGCCCTTCCGAATGACCTATAATATAGTCTACTACACTCTTTCTTGGCTAGTGTAGTAGACTATATTCGCCCGTGGAGGTGAGTGGAGGAAGAATCAAAAAATAGAAAGGTATTGCTTATAATAGTTGCTCGTTCATAAATTCACTCGACCACTTGTTAGTCTTGCTACACTATACGACACGAGTCTAGGGTGAAGTTGAAGCAGACACGGCCAAGTGAAGTCGACTTCACTTGTGATTCAACATACCATATGGAAAAGAAAAAGAAGAGAAGGGTCTCGCCCAGGTGGCTCCCGCAAGGTAACGACTTCAAACTCAAACAAAGAACGTTCTTATCCAAGGCATGAGTCAAAGAAAATGCTGTATGTATCTAATGCAAGACCCGTCGATAAGCTAAGGCTACGACATGAAGGAAGGCTAGAAGAACTACAGAACCACGCCCACCAGAGCTAAAGGGGACCGAAGGGAGTTGCGGGAGGAAACCGAAAGATAGGTAATCCATATGGTGAAACATGAGAAAGAGGGATTGCTTAAAACCGGAAGAAATCGAGTCCACCCACACAACGACCGACGGACTCGTGGTACTGAAACCCTCATTAGATGAGAAGGTGACTGCCTTAAGTAGGGGTGCCCCTGAACGTACGTTAACCAAAGGCCCCTATCAACTCAATCTGGAAAGGGAATAGACCGCCGTGAACTCCGGCGAAAGGCCCCGTACGACCTGCGGGAGGTGAAGGTCGCTGGCTTGCTTACCGGACAAGGGGCCGTGGTATCTGACGGGACATTGGCCTCCCTCCCCTTTATTGAACAGGGCTCGCTGTACGTTCCTTTAGCTATAGGCGTGTCCAATCCGATAATAGTCCGTTCCACATAGTGCAAGGAAGCCCTCCATTAAACTAGGGGCTTTCATACGAGGGTCCTGCGTACTGTGCCATCGCCCAACCAGTACGGCCATCCCTGCTATGGTCAACAAGCTCTTGTGTAGGGACTTGCGGTAAGCCGCCATTTTGTGTACGCACTGTCCCTTCGCAGTTTTGGTGAGTAACCGCCGGTGTCTGCTGTTCTCATCGTTTCACCGGACCTTGAGTTGCCCTACCCAAACAAACTTGTTTGCCTAGTTGGGCTTAATGCGTCCCCGGTTTAGAAGGACGCCCCACCCCCTGCTGCGCTTGTCTTTTCACCTTTGTGATTTCTTTTCCGTTTTTTCTGGTACTCCTCCCTTTTTTTGTTGGGAATTGGTCCAAGGTTTGGTTGTTCTGGCCTTGCCATCGAAGGTTTCAGAAATGCTTTAGTTACGCTCATCGCATGATTAGGATCAATCAGAACAGCCTCACCTGCCCTGGAAAGCAGATGGAGGGAGAGATCAAACTGTCAGCTGTGCCATTAGGAGCCCTTTCCCACTTATTGTTTGGGGAGAACAGCCAGTCAGAAGGTAGAGCCTTTACAGGGGGTATATCTGATGATGGAATCCGTGATAACTGATGTCAACATCGGGAAGTGGAGTTCTGGGGCTTGGATTTCCCTTTCATCATTTAACTACTAAGCAAAATAGGCCAACTACAGGCACTAAGGTCAATGAAGTACGTGCCGCACCATTTACATTTGACTGGTGAAAGCTTAATCTCATCTCTAGTTGTACCAACGAGGAGAGTCAATACTCAAATACGCCAACTCATTTAGTATAGTCAAACTCAACATACGACGAGGCTCTTCAAGAGAAGGGAAGGTTACGTACTCCCTAATCGTAGAGCTAACAAAGGATCCTGCCTGTAGCTTGTGGCTTTGTTAGTTGGCTTAATAGCTTGCTTGGTCCGATTGTTCATGTTGCTGGTCCCGCTGCCCTTACCTACTCAAATCCCGAAACGAAAAGAGTAGTTACCGTTCCCTATTCGTCCTGGTCCCTGTGAAAGGTCCAGTCGATGGGAAAGAATCCATGTTAAAGTCTTATTACCGAGTGCGAGCTGCTTTCTGTGGAAGGTTCGATTACGGGAAGGAAATAGAGGCGGTAAGGGACCGCTTTCCTTTTATGCTTCCCTACGTGGAAAATGAATCAAACCAGTTCTCCCTCGACCTGCAGGTATTCTAAATGGTTATTGTTTATGCTCGTATATCATAAAAATGATTCATTGGGAGGGCTTGGAAAAGGAAATCCACTTCGTACCTTCGTATCTATAATCTAAACACTTCTCACCTCTGCGCCTTCTGTACTTCCCGGCTCAAGCAAGAGCCACAGTGACTGGAACAACAGGAAAGCCACCTTAATCAGTCAAGCAAGCAATTTGAATAGGGATTATGAACAGGCCCTTACCTTGGCCTTACCCGTTCGATTGATTGTTCTAAAGTCGAAGTCCTTTCGTTAAGTCGAATTGAAAGGTAGGTTTTGTCAGTGATTAAATGGAAAGGGGGAGCGGTTCGGGCCTACTCTTGAACTTTTAGGCTAATTAAAAGCCAAAACAAAGGCCACGGCATGTAACTGAGAAAGATGGGATTCGGTCAACAAACAAAGGAAATTAAAACACTCCCTTCTTTCTGTCGACAATGATGAAAACCAGATCGAACTCTAAACTAAAGTCAAGCCTTTCACTTCATTGTTCAAGCTCTTGAACATAGGTTGAGTTCATACATTATGAATGCTTTCCTATTCAAGACATACTACCAATTCCTTTGAAGCTACTACCACTACCGAAGCTGGCTTGCTTGTTTTGGTTACCGGTTGAGGTTTTGAAACCAGAGAAAGAAGATCCGGTTGGGCTTTCTAGCGATGGGAGATTAGTCACCGGAAGACTTGCTGGCTTGCTCCTTCAAAATAAGGTGGATAAGACGGGTGGCCTATTCCAATAGCTGGCAGACGGGCTATTATGCCTATTCAACATATTCCGATTGTGATACAATTCCATTGCCTGCTCCTATTCATGTTCGTGCTTACTTGTATGCCGGAACTTCAAGGTCAATAAAAAAGGACTCCTATCCTAGGTCTGAAACTCGGTCTGCTTGCTCCTACAAAAGCTCATACGGTGTGTATCCTACTCCTCTCCCGATACGAGTTATTTCCTGACCGTTCCCTCGTGCTTGTTTCAGGAAGCACTTCGGTCACTCCAGTAAGTATATAGATTATTTGACAGACGACAAAGAGTGATTTACCGACGAAAAGAGGTCAAGCCGATTAGCAAGTCGACCAACTCGTTCACGTTCATTTGACCTACTCTTAAGATAAGACTGTTCCCCTTTAGCTTCTTTAGTCAATTCTAATTGTTCACTCTTAGTTGACCGTTCCGCTGGGGCTTCCTCTTTAAGTGGAAGCCCTGCGCTGCACTCCAGTGTTGAATTTATTGATCGACGAAACGAGTTATTGCCATTTCATTTTGCATTTACATAAAAGTGGGAAAGGAACAGACTTTAGTTGACGGAAAGGAAATGTATATTGATACGTTCAATCGAGTCCCGTTCTCTATTCCTATGAGGGGACGAGCGTGCAACTACAACAAGTAACTGTCTTTCTGTTCCCGATCCCAGAGTTAAGGTATGATAAAAAAGAGACCGAATTACAAGAGTCGGGACTACTTGGTCGTACCCTCATCCTAAAAGGTCAGCCCAGATAGATATTTATCTGCAGTCTCGATTTTGATGATTCAACTTATCTTTGCGAGCTAGCCCGGTGCCCCATAAACCAGCTCTTCTCAGAACCCGTGGGGAGAGTCAAAGCTGTCTCTTGAGCTCGGTCCTTCTTAATTGATTGCCAAATCTGAATCGAATTGCCATGCTCTAATCAAGGAGCGACCAATGAAAATAGAGTGACAAGTTCTAGGGCGAAGGACTCTGATCCTGGGCTTTTGAACATCAAGCTTGTGGACAGGCCTCTCTCTTCCTTCTTCTCTACTTCCCGCTCTTTTACCTTTGTTCACCGGTCAATACCTAAAGCAGGTGTCATTCCTGCTTATGTGGTATGTGGGCGGTGACAAGTCGGCCAGACCCAAAATGACTACATATGTATCTCTAACTCGAAGCGGCATTCCGCGCTTCATCCCCCCTCAGTATCGTAAGATTCTTCGAAGAGGAGATGATCCGAGGGTCATTCGAGTAGTGCTCTCAATTTGTGCACTGTCTCGTCTGATTAAGGTTGTTCCGAAACGGGGGTTGAGAGTCAATCCCTCAACCATCCACATTCCAAACTTCCAACTCGGAGAGCCTGCGCAGAAGCTCTGTGTTAAGCTACTAACATCGGGCTTCTCGATGCTAGGCGCGTATGCTCCAGCCTATCGGAAAATCCCGTTGAGACTGGGATTCTCCTTTAAGCCTATGTTCACTTCCGGTCCGAACACAACCAAGGATTTCCGAAAGGAGTCCTCTGTTAAGCTACGGAACAGCGTGCCACTAGCGGAGAAGTGGAAGAAGTTTCAAATGACTATCTACCACTCCCTGCCAGTGGACGCCTCTGCGCTTTTCACATTGTTTAAGCCAGAGGATCTCGCTGTTATAGGATCTCTATGGTTCTCTGACCGGGAAATCATTCCTGATTCCGGTTATGATAACCCTGTTGATCCCGTTAAGGAAGGAACGGACGGTTTTGGTTGGTTGATTAATTCGTTACTGCCTCCAGCGCAAGCTTTATGGTGGGACACGATGGTTACCCGACCTGAGGCTGGACGCTTTGGGCGTAAACTTGAGGGGAGTGGTAAGATTCGGCTGTTCGCGATTGCGAACCCGATCTTTCAGACGCTGTTAAGGCCTCTGCACGATTGGGTTATGAAGGTCCTTTCCACCATTAAGATGGATGGGACTTTCAACCAGCTGGCACCACTGCACCGCCTTAAGGGTATGAAGGATTTATATTCCTTCGATCTTAAGTCGGCGCAGGTAGAGGAGGGCCTCCTGCCTGTAGATCTTTCTGGATCTTTGCTGGCTAGTCTGTTCGGTGATTCCTTGGCTCAATCATGGTGCTTTTTGATGACCATGGTTGGGTTTCGGAGTCCTGACAGACTACCATCAAGGTTGAAGGCGAGAGTCTACCGGTTTACTCGGGGTCAGCCCCTCGGTTACTACTCATCATGGCCGGTCTTCACACTTACGCACCATGCGTTGGTGTGGTTGGCCGCCTATGAGGTGTATCCAGGGCGGAGATTCGAGGATTATGCTATCCTCGGTGATGATATAGTTATCGCCGATCGGAAAGTGGCGTTAGAATATCAGAGGATCATGGAAGAAGCACAAGGGGTAATATCGAAAGAGAAATCCCTTGTGTCCTCCCGAGGTGCTTGTGAATTTGCTAAGCGCTTTATTATTAATAACCATAGATTGGACAGGACAGATTGTAGTCCTGTCTCTCTATCGTGTATTAAGCTGTGCCATGGATTCGTGAGTTCCTTCGTCTTTCAACAGTTGGGAGTCAATATTCTTAACTCCTTTCGGCTGAAAGCCTTATAGTTCATGGGCGTGTGTTCTCAAAGATCAGAGTGGGGAGTGATCGTTTATTCGACCACCTCTCGCTCCGATGGAAGAGGCACTGGTTAACTCTGTTTTCTACGTCCGGCATCCACCCTCTCCCTTTCAAGTTGTGGTTAGCATATCCTGAAAAGGGTATTCTTAACTGCTACGAGGAAGGTGCAGTAAGGGCGTTCATCCTGGGTCGTGTTGAGCCTAAAGATTTAGACGAAAAGTCTATCTCTGAACTCAACACATTCTGGGTGAATGATGATGATATGATGCTGGAGAGACTTTGAAAGTCATTTCTCAAACTCCATCTTGACTATCTTCATTGGTATGCTAAGGTAATCTTTGATTACTCTATCTCTTTTGAGGATCTAATGAAGCCCCCCGTCGCACCCCGGCGAATAGCTCGGGTGTCCGATGAGTCCACCTTGAAGAGGTATGGGCTCGCGTTCAAAACGTGGGACTTCGTTCGGCAGTTGGAGCCTGTAAGAGCTCTCGCTCCGCCTCAACATAGTGAAAACTGTGTTGGGGGTTCCTGATCTTTCATGCTAACTTGTAGTTTGTTGGCTATCATTACGATAGGCACATTTGCTTTCTTGTGAAATCCCCGTGAATCCTTTGGTTCGTGGGATTCATCGAAAACCCATAGATCATAGTAATTGTGTGCCCCAGTGAGATCATCTCCTCGGGAGCTGGTAAAATAGATTCTTAAAACACGGGATAGTATATGGAAAAGGGCTGTCTTCTGCATATTTGGCACTCCATAAATGAATAGCTGCTTTGTTTTTATCGGCCTGTGAAAAGATAGTTGACAAGCAATCCAATCAAGTAATAGATATTTCTCTTCTAGCTCTTCGATCTCATACTCCTCCGGTTGTCCATGTCTCTCAAAATAATCTATAAATCTCTCTCCCAGAGTTGTTTGCATATCTCGAACTACCTGTAGATCCTCATATAGATTCCTCATGCTCTCATAGGAATGCCAGGATAGCTTCCTTAAGAGCTCATCGTTCTATATTTCGTACCAATCCTGACATCTTAGGAGCTTGTCTATGATTTGCTCTGGGAGACTCGTCTGAGACCTAGACCTTTTGAGCTTTGGACTCGCCCCGGCAATCTCAATGATTTGCTGCCTCGTATACTCCCCCCATACAAGAGGTTCCTTATCCTCTTTAAGAATATATCTACAGATGGAAGCCCAACCCCTATGAAATCTCACATCGATTGCTCCTCCTTCCCATTCTTGGAACACCTCTCTCATTTTCTTAGTTGCAGTATTCTTGGATTTGGATGCAGTTCTGTTGCGTACACCCGCATGAAGGTTATACCCACCTTCACTATGGTTCTCTTTTGCAACTAGAATGGCCCTGCAGTCGAATAGTTGCCTAAGCCGGTCTCTCACCAACTGTTTATTTGCGTTTGGCCTTCTCTCTGCATGACTTAGTGTAACCATAAGGAATTCCCTTAACGTGCTGACCCTTCTCTTGCTCATGTTGTTCATTTTCCCTTCCTTTTTCTTTCTCCTATCTCCAGTTTCTATTGATCAAAAAGAGGTTGTCCCTCCTTCGACCACTTGACCAAGGCGGCCGGATTTCCTTTATTCTCTTCTCGTTCCTTTCTTCCCGTAAGCTCAATGGATGGATTTCTTCCTTAATTCCGGGGCGAAAGAAGCGAAATTGCTTTATTCTCCCTATAATGGATTGGTGTGGTTCCTCTTCTTCTCTTTCTCCTGCCCTCCACATATATACTTTCTGGGTGTTCTCGTATCCGGGGTGTTTTATTGAAATAAACGAAATAAACAAGGGCCAATAGCGTATCCTATCGGCCTCAACTAAGACGATAGCGACCCATACATAAGCTGCTCAATACCTTTCTTACCGTACGGTCTTTCATTTCAATCTAAGGGCAAGAGCTGTTACGCTATTGCTTGATTTACTTAATTCCTGGTGTTTTATTGCAAGAAACGAGGAGGAAAGAAGAAGCTTGACTCGACCGATTCAGGAAAATAAAGTCACCAGTGAGGCTTTAAGGAAAGGCGCGGGGCCGCTAGCTGCTCAATTGATTGCTTTCGAACCGAGGGGGTATCAACAGAACAGGGGAGAGGAGGAATCTGTCG